CGGTAGCAGGTGCCCTCGCGCCAACAGTCGAAGGTATTGGTCGGCCCGCAGGTGGCCTCCGAGTAGTGGAGGTCCGAATTGTACACACCTTGCGACGTGCGCTTGTCGCAGTTCGATATGTCCACGTAGCCACCACGGTTTGCTACACCAATTTGGATGTGGCTCGAGGGAATCTGCACAATATGTCATGAGTGGGTACATGGTAGTTATCGAGATATGGTTGAGCAAAGTTGTAACACCGTCACAAAAGTGATATGCAGAAGCAGTGATGCACGTATTGAGAGCGCGACTGTCCTCCCCTTCGCACACGTTAAGATACGAGGAGTAGAGCTAGCTATGCGGCGTCACACCGCGACACCGGACGCTCTCACATGACGCATCAGGCAATCGCCTCGAGATCTCTCGTGCAAACAGACTCGGAGCCCAGGGAGAGCCAGCGGTGGCCGGAGCGTCCCGCTTGTTCGAGCTCGCTGTCGATGCATGCGGCCACACGTGGCAGGACGGCTTTGACCATGCGGTGTAGGGGCTCACAGGGGTCGCAACCACCGCCCTCTTGCTCTTCGCCAACCGCGTCCTCCTGTGCATGGGCCGGCTTCCCCTCCGGCTCGCCGCCCTCTGCACAAACTGGTGCCTCGTTGGAGGGCACCTCATGCTCAACCTGAGCATCTGCCGGCGCTAGCGGTACTGAGTTGTCCTCCTCAGCTGTATTGCCAGCGCGCGCTTCTGCGTCGCCACCCGCCTCCTCGACCGAATCTACCCCCGCCTCAGAGGTTTCTTGCGCCTCTGCACCGCCCCACTCGCCGAGTGCGAGGCGGTTGAGTGCCTGCTGGTACTCCTCATACACGAGGGAAACCTCGAGCAACTCTGAGAGCGCCTCATCGATGCCCCGTCCCGCGCTATGTCTCGCTCCCTCGCCCGCGCCCTCCCCAGCGCCGTCGCCCGTGCCGTCGTCCGCAGCTTCCTCCAGAGCACCAGCTACCCGCGTGCAATAGCACTCGGGAAGGATGCCAACGAGCTGCCTGGCGACGTCGGCGCTCGCTGTCGCGCTTAGGAGCTCCGCGTCCCGCAGCAGCTGAACGAGGCCTCGCACAAGTAGCTGGCCATCGTGCGCCCCCCCTCTGGCGCATGGCGGCGGCGGCGCGGCGATGCTGTAGTACGCAAAGAGAATAGGCAGCACCTCGTGCGAGCATGGCGGCACAGCTGGGGTAAGCGTAACCAGCTCGCCTGCGTGCACCAGCGGCAGCAAATGCCTGTCCCACAAATGGCGCACCTAGAGGGAAACAGCGGAATCCAAAGCGCGCTTGCCAAAGACGGCGATACTTAAAGTTCCATATGTGTGGAGGAACTTGCCAACCCTAGTAGAGTCTCGCTCCTGCCTACGGCACGCACCCGGTCGGCGAGGGACACACCCTCGCCTGGCGGCACCACAAGATCCGCCAAAGGGACGAGCCGCTCCGAAAACTCGCGGAGGAGGAGGGAAGGCGCCTGTTTGGCAAAACCTGACACTCAAGAGCAAGTCACGCGAGGCTAATACTGAATTTCTCGATGCCGGAGGCGCAAGCGAGGGGTCGGCCTCCTCGGTCCCTGCGGCGGCGGCAGTCCGGCGGAGGTGCTTCCGTAGCTGCTGCGCAGCAAGTAGAGGTGCACGCGGCAATGTCGACGGGTGGTCGAGGTGGGGAAAGACTATCCGTAGGATGGCCGCCATCGGTGCTCGCGGCGAGCACAGCTTGGCGTCTACCGCCAGCCGTGCAAACTGAGGAAGGCTCAGCTGGAAGGCCTCCTCGGGCTGACAGCCCAGCTGCGCGTACAGCTGCGCGGGGAGGGACAGGGTGGATTGGTTGCGATACTCTTGACTACGTCGCGGCGCAGAGAAGGTGCATCTCGTCTGTGGTGCATCGCAGGTGTTCTCTTACTTGATAGAGCCGCTTGAGCTGCAGCCCGTGCTGGAGCAGCACATTCTGTGCTTGTTGCCGGTGACTGGGCAGCGGCCCTTGCGCCGGGCCTGGCAGCTGGCGACCGTCGGCCATGCGATCGTGCGCAAAGAGGCCGTCGAAGACGGAGCCGTCCTCAAATACAAAGACGCCCGGGCCGTGCTTCTGGTTGGATCGCCACTCACCGGCGTAGGTGGCGCCGTTTGCGTAGTAGAAGGTGCCCGTGCCTGAGAATGGAAGGCCGTGAAGGTTCGTTGAAGGCTCGCGTCGAACTGCAGTGGAGGGTAAGCATTCGGCACCTATGGTACAGTCGTTGAGCGTGCGCCGAGAGCGAATGCGAGCCGAGGAGGACGAGAGGTTTACGTCCTTGCCGCACACCCGCCTCCCATTCTCCGACATACCTCTCCTGCGCCTGGACGGGAGAAGACGGGTCCTGCGGACGGAGCCATCGGTGCTCTCCGTGCCCGTGAGGAAGCCCGTCCTGCGTCAGGGGGGGGGGGGGGGGGGGTGACGAGCAGGGTGGTGAGGGCTGGGCGAGGTGGGAACAACGCGAGAGCGAGGTGGGAGAGGAGGGTGGGCGAGAGGTCGGCAGCTCCAGAAAGCAGCAAAGAGAGCGGCCGAGAGGAAGGTGCAAAGCGGGACGAGAGACCTTCCACTCGCCCGTGTACCGCTCGGCGGATGAGGTCCATTCCATAGTGCCTTGGCCGCACTTGGCATCCGCCTACGTGGAAAGAGGGAGAGGGTCGGGAGGAAGCAGCGCCTGGGCGAGAGAGATTCCGTTTCGGCCCATTGCTCTGTGCCTACTGCCTCCTCCTTCTCTCCACTCTCTCAACGGCATCTCTGCGGCAGCTGGCCTTCCACTGCCCGCGGTACACGTTGCTGCTCGCATACGCCATCGTCCCCTCCCCTTCCCTCCTGCCGTCCAACCACTTCCCCTCGTACATAGCGCCGCAGGCGTATGTGAGACGGCCGGTGCCGTGCCGCAGCCCGTTGCGCCACTCGCCCTCATACCGCGCGCCGTCGCTCGCCACATACTCACCGCGCCCGTGCCGCCTGCCCGCCGAGACCGCACCCGCGTACCGGCTTTGGTCGGGCCACGTGAAGGCGCCCTCCCCCTCTGGCGTGTTCTTAGCAAAGTCGCCCTCATAGACGGTTCCGCCCGGCCACTCGAGCCGGCCAGCCCCGCTCATTGTGCAGCCCGACAGCTCGCCACTGTAGGCGCTCTTCGAGCGAAAATACACAGCGCCGTCGTCGGCTGCAGCGGAGTTGTCGGGCCGCTCCACTATCCTAGTGCGGGCAGAGGGTTCCATGAGATTGGCGTTGCAGCTTGGGGACGCACTTCAATCTCCATCGGGCGGTGTCAAAGTAGCATCTACCTTTGCACGCCTTTCCATCTGCTCACTCGAGATATCCGCACTGCACGCAGTCTCGCCCTCAGCCATGAAAGCGTACTCATAACTGATTGCCACGTCGGAGGCGCATCTGAGCGGCTCTTCAATGCGGCCCCCCTGCGGCGATTCCCCTGCCGCTGGTAAGTCTAGGCTCACGGATCCAATCAGAGTGTCAGCCGTCAGCCCGCCACACGACCACACCTAGAGAGCGATGCGTACCGTGCGTGCTACGCGCGATGTGTGCCACTGTGGCATTGCTTGCATTTTTGCCTCCAACACCGCTGCGGCTGCCGGCTGAGGACCGGCGAGAGGGACAGAGAGGGACGGCGCGTGGAGCCGCTCGCTTTCTCGCGAAAGCGGAGCGCGTGCCAGCTCAGCCGCGCCGCGCCTCACTCTGACGTACGCAGAGGCCTCGAGGCCGCGGACATCGACCTGCGAGAGCTGCAGCGCCATTGCGCGCCCTCGGTGAAACGGCAAGCGGAAGCAGGTGTGAAGAGGCGGGCTTGTGCGTTTAGGTAAAGAGGCCAGCTCCCAGCTGGGCTGAGAGGCCAGCTTGGGAGCACGGCGAGTGGCTGGCCTCGGACCCGGGTCCGGTCCGGTCCGGTCGGTGCGGTGCCGGTCCACGCATGTTGTCGCATCGTGAAAGTAGAGAGCAAGTAGTCAGCGAAACATACACACGTCGTACGACCTTCGTACACGAGATACTTACGGCTCTGATCGTAATACGTAAATCAGAAAATGTGGGCGCACGGCGTGAGGGGAGCTAGGTGAGGAGACAGTGAGTGCGGTGTGGTACGCGGCTACTGCCGGCTCTCGCCTCTCGGCTCACACGGCTTTTTATATGTAGCATTTACGTGAGGTCGGACCGGTCGCTCGCGGAGAAGTTTCGAACATCAAATATGCGATATGGGTTTTCAGACACACGACACATTGCAAACCAGACGCCGTGTCATGGCAGTCAAGGCTCCACTCGCGGGCAAACCAGGACGCCGTCGTCGAACGGGCTCCCCATCACCAGCCGATCTCCCACCGGAATGCTGAATGAGACCCCGGCTAGATGACGCCCCTGCATCCCGACCACCTTGGCCTCGTCCGTCGCCAGATCGAACCGGAGCGCGCCGGACGGCATCGGAGGCGTTGGCGGCCCTCCCTCCTCGGGCCGCAGTAGCGTGTGCGGCCTCGGGCTTGGCCGGCTAGCGGCACGCGCCGCCGCGTGCGCCGCCGAGGCGTTGGCGAGCAGCGCGGCGAGAGGCCTCCAGAAGTGGGCGCTCGAGTAGCCCACCGCGCCGGCCCAGAGAGCGCCACCCGCGGGCTCGAGGTGCAAGTTGTCGATGAGGTGTGGTGCGAGGAGCGAACGCCTCTCCTCCAGCCGCGCGGACGCGCCCGAGCCGAGGACGTCATACTCGACCACCACCCGCCGAAAGATGTCGCTCACGTAGAGCCTGCCGCCCAGCCCGCCGCGCGCGGGAGACCGCGGCCTCACCGGCCGGTACGCGACGCCATTCCACACGACACCTCTGCGGCCAACGGCAGTGCACGCCGTCTCTCGGCAAGTCGCTGGCCCGTCCCGGTGCGGCTCGAGCCCTCCGTCGCAGTAGCAGTGCCAGAGGCGCGAGCGCCGAAGCCGAGGCAGCAGCAGCTTGGCGGCGATCTCCGCTCCGAGATAGCGAGAAAGGGCGCGCGCCTGGGACGAGATGCAGGCGAGAGGACGCGAGTGGCGCCAGGTTGGCGAGATGGTGCCGATGGTGCCGAGAGGAGGTGGCGAAATGCGGCCGAGAGGCGGACTTGAGATGCCGAGCCGAGGTACAGCCGAGGTATAGCCGAGATTCACTGAGGGTGCGCGCCGCTGCGGCGAGCGGTCCGTCGGGCGGCGGCGGCACGCGGTCGGGGAGAAGGCCCGCCGCCGCACCCTCGTGCGACGCCTGGATCAGAGGCACGGGGTTGGTACCCACCCTCGCGTGCGCAGGGAGGCGGCTGCACGCGAAGGGAGGAGGCTGATAGAGGCGACAAGCTAGAGACCGTGACTGACTGTGTAGAGACGGACCGGCTCGTCCACGAATTGCGTCATGTACCACTCTGTCGGGCTGACCTGAGGGGGAGGGGGTTCCGCGAAGGCTCCGAGCAGGCTCCGAGATGGATCTTGGGTACCCACGCTGCGGGTCGGCTCACAGGAGCAATGTCGTTGATGGCGGCGTTGAGCTTTGACGTCAATGTTGCCCGCTCGCCGGGCTCGCCGGGCACGTCCCGGAAGAGCGCGGCGGTGACCGGGGGCAAGGCTGAAAGCGCCACCGGATGACCCGCCGTGCCGGCATCGGCCCCGTCCTTGGCAGTCGGACGGCTCACCCTCCAGCGCTCGATCCTCTCGCCTCCGCTGCCAAAGGCGTGGTTGACTGCAAAAAGCACGTCGCCGTGCAAGCCAAGTCCGTGCAGGTGCATTGTCGTCGCACCGGCAGGCAGAGGCACCTCGAGCGGCGTGAGTCGCGGCTGTGCAGTCATCTCGAGCGCCCAGATGCGGCCCGGCGGAATCGTGGACGCCGAGGCGCCGTGCACGTCGGCGGTGGTGAACTCGTGAGAAAGGGCGTCCAGCTCGCCCATGAGGACGACGGGAGGATCGCCATCGAGAAGGACGCCGTCCTCGGCTCCGACAGGGCCGGCGAGGCGTGAGCATTCACGGTCGAAGCGCGACAGAGTGGGCGGAGCCGGCAGGAGCAGCGCGTCGAGGAGGCTGACACGGAGCCAGCTGAGAAGATCGCTCTCGAGGAGCGCCACGGCGAGCAGGACGATCAGCACCGCGGCCGAGGAGAGGCGCGACATGCGATGGGAAGGTGTGGCGGAGAGCCGACAGCGACGGCGGAGCTGTGAGGGGTGCGAGCTGTGGCGGGGGTGTGCGACCGCACAGCTGTGAGGGGTCTGTCTCAGGCTGTCTGGATGGCCCCAGCCACTCCGCTGTCCGCGGTGTACGAACTCTGTTCACAGATAGGGTGATAAGAATCTTACAACAAAACTCCCTCGCACAACACTGGGCACGGGACTGGCGCGGGTGATAAGAAAACAAGAACCTCGCATACGACGACAGTGAGGGTTCACACCGAGTAGCTGGGAGTGGCTGCGGCTATAGCAGACAGGTGAGGGGTGCCAGCCAGGGGCGAGCTCTGGCTGGGTTCCGCCCACCCAGATACCCGAATACTCGAGTAGGAATCCTAGGTAGGGGGTCTGTGTCCATGATTCTGCAGCGAAGCGAAAAAATTCCCTTGAGCCCTCTGTGAATAGGAGGCTCCCAGCGCCCGCCGCGCGCCGGCTTGTACCGCGGTGCGCGCCGCTCGCGAGCCCGCCGCGGCGTCTGCGGAGGAAATGTCGCGGCCGAGGAAGGCGAGGGCTCGCCTGACACAGAGGTGCCGAACATAAGTGAGGGACACAAACTGCAGGCGTCCCACCAGCGACTCCTCGCCTGACGCAGCCGCGCCCACGCCGAGCGCTAATGGAGTCGAGTCCGCCAGGCCGCTTCTTCTCTCTGAGCGCCGGCTTGAGCACCAACGCCGGCGCGTCTTGGCGAGTGCTGGAGCGCAGCACCGGGTGCAGGCCGACCAGAGCGGTCTCGAGGGCGCGGGCCAGGGGTGATGCCCAGATCGCTTGAGCCGCCGCCAGCTCGGCCGCAAGCTCTGAGTCTCCCTTTCGACCGGCTGCCGCAGCCGCCAGCGCACGCGCCTACTCACTGGGAAGGCCTCTCATCTCGGCTCGTGGGAAGAGTGACGTTCTGCCACCGGCCTGCTCGACTCCGAGCGGGGTGAGCGGGTGATCAAGCCGCAGCATGCCAAAGAGGTCGTTCCTGCGTAGGGTTGCGGGCGCGTGAGGCGGAATGCGTCAAAGTCTGCCTTGTTTTGTGCGCCGGCGCAGCGGCGCACCGCTCTCGGGCGACGTTCCAGCGCGACTGACCGTGCCGGATCACATAAATGACGACCACATCGTCGGGCCGCGCCTCGCACGCGATGAAACGGGCGCCATCGAGGCAACTCGTACGTCCCCCCTTGCTGGGCACTAAGACCCATATGCTCAGCGCGGCGGTGCGCGTGGCAGGTGGTACGCCAAGAGGAGGTGGTACGTCATGGTAGGTGATACGTCTTAGGTGCTCGACGGCGTCCTTCGACGGAAGCTGGAGGAGCGCTGCTTTTCGCTCGCCGAGGCGTATCGCAATATATCTCAAGCTCTCGCCCACCCGTGTCGAGTCGTTACACGTCCCCACGTCTCGTGCTAGCCGAGCCACCCGGCCGAGCCCAAGGCTATCCATTCGAGACGGACCTGCCCCGAGACGGCTTCGGTGGACGGCCTTGCACCGCGGGGTTCGCTCGGTATGGCCCCGATCCCCCGCCCCTCTCTCTGGGGAGAGGTGCCTGCAAGCAGGCTGGCGGGCTCTCGTGTCCTAGGGCTTCTACCGAATTTCCGGGTGTCGCCTCGCCTGGGGCACCGACTCTCTGCCCCGCGCGCCGCCAGCCGCTTCCGCCGGGCCGACGCGTTTTCTTTTCGATTCTCCTCCCCAGCCCCAGGGCTCCTGCCCAGGCGCTGCTGCTCAACGACCCCACCGATGCTTGGCCTCGGCGCGTACGAGGACTCGCCCGTGGCAGCCGACGCGGAGGAGGCCGCTGCGGCGCCGAGCGCAGTCCACCTCTCCATCGTCGACTACGACGACGCCGAGCCGGAGGCGCCCGAGGTGGCCGCCGGCGAAGCAGCAGCAGCGGTGCTCGGCGCCTCGCTTGACGACGAGGCGGTGCACAAGGCGGGGCAGCACCGGAGCGTCGGCGTCAGCGGCGTGCAGGTCTCCATCGTCAAGAAGCCCGCCGCTGTTCCGGCGGACGACGCGGCCGCGGCCGGCGGCGATGACGGTTCCGCTGGCGAAGGCGAGGCATCCGCCGCCGCCAAGGAGGAGCGAGGCGGCGCGGCGCGCGCCCCGTACGTGATACCGGACTCGCCTCCCGGGGACGTCGACCCTGGCCTCGCCGAGCGCTTCGAAAACCTTGCGGAGAAGACTCGCAACGGCATGCGGCCGGTAGATGCGCAGACTCGGTCCAGACTCAGTCCATCAGTGGCTGCGCAGTGCGTCGCGTGCAAGGGGTGCTTTGGCCGCCGCCGCCCCCGTCGCGCCTTTCAACCCCCCCCCCCCCCCTCCCCGCCCCCTCCTCCTCCTTCCCTCTCTGCGGCCCGATGCCTCTCTGCAGCCCTCTGCCTCTCTCTCTGCGCCGAAGCGGGCGAAGTGGCCTCCACGCCCGCCCGCCCGCCCACCCCCTCCCTTCACCCCGCGCAGGACAGCGTCCAGCACGCGCGGACGTAGGGCTCGCATTTTCGACCCTGGGGAGGCCGCGCTGCCGGCGGAGCACTGGTGCTGGTGCTGTGGCGTGCTGTCGCCGTGTCGGGAACGTCTCTTCCTGGTCTCTGCCCGCGGGCATGCCTGAGGCGTGAGGGCGACGCGTCTCGCTGAAGGGCGGGCAAGCAGCAGCAGCCTTGGCGCGCGGTCAGGAGGGGGGCGTGGCCATTGGGGAGGGGGGGAGGAGGGGGATCCGACCCAGGAGCTTGTGGTTGAACTATTGTGCGCTCGTGGTTCGAAATGCTATGTGTTGATGCCTGTGGATGGTCTCTCAGGGACGTGGGAGGCGCACCCTTCACCGTGGTGATTTTATTAATATATTCCAGAGACTCCTCGTGTCTCCTCAGCGCTCAGTCAGAGTACGACGTCGCTGTTTTTTTGAGAGACTTGTTTCTTTCGGTTCGTGAGAAGAGAGAACATGTGTACGTAAGGACTAAGAAAAGAAAACAAAAACCACTCGCATGCACAAAGACAGACATCGTTGTCTACTACCGGCTCCTGACGCTACCCCTGGCAGCTCTAATGACCAGGATCAGTAGTGCTATAATCGAGGGTGCCCATACTAGCGCAGGAGCTGCCATACTCGCCCGGACCGTCCCCTTCTGGGGCCGGTTCCGCAGCCCGAGAGCCGACAGCGGGGCCGTGCCGCGGGTGCCTACTGCCGAGTGCCACAAACACTGCGCCGTCCCGCCATCACCTACAGGCTGTCTTGTGTGATGGTTGGGATGTCCAAACGCCACCATCTTGGCTCTTGCGACCTCAAACCCGCGAGCTGTATGGGTGGTCCTGATGTCGACAGACGCCCGATGACCACGGTGAAGCTGAGCCGTAACGAGTCGACAAGTCTCGTCTGAGCCCGTGGCGGTCGCCGGCTGAGTCGCTGTGCACGGGCCGGTACCTCAGGCGTCACCTCCGCAGCCTCAGGTCTCACACTCCATCATCTCCGCCGGGACGCCTTCGGTGGCAGCGTGGCACGCTCGGCGGCGACTTTGTTGCAGCCCCACAGCGAGCGCGGCGTCGAGCCTATTCGGTCTGGTCGGTTCGCGGCACTCACTGGGTGCCAGGGAGTGCCGCCGACACGCGTGACGCGAGCGGTGCTTCCTGGCAGCGCGCGCCGGCTGTGCCGCGGGGCTGCAACAAACTCGAGACACGCTTTTGGGGGACAGGCGACGCATATACTCGTGCAACATCCCCCTCCATGTGTGTAGAGTGTACATAATGCCATACCCACATACATTGATCTACGCAGAGCTACCCGTTAGCACAATCATCCCCACACGACGCTGAGAACAAGAGCGCACAACAGTCAACGGCCCGGTCCCGTGGCCAGCGTTGGCTCAGCCGGAGGGAACGCTCGTCGAGGCCGAGACGCCAGGCGCGTCCTGAAGTAGCGCCGCGCCCGTCTTGAGCCACTCGCTCACCTACGGGCGACAACCCCGTCATCCCGCGCCGCGCAATCTCGGCGAATCTAGCTGCGCGCTGCTAGTCTCGGCGAGTCTCGGCGAGTCTCGGCGAATCTCGGCGAATCTCGGCGAGTCTCGCGTGCGCACCGCGGAGAGCTGCTGCTGCCAGTGCGCCATCTCCTCGCGCGCCGCCGCCTCGTCCTGCGCGCCGTCCGTCTGAGTCGCAGCCTGCTCGCACCACCAACTGTGAAGAGAGATGCCGCTCACACCACCTCCTTGGCGCCGTCGGAGTCGCAGCCGCCTCGCCCTGCCGCCCGCCCGCGCCGCCGGCCGCGCCGCCGCCGGCCGCGGCGGCGGGAAGGGCGGCGGCCGCCGCAGCCACAGCACGCAGCTGCTCCTTGAGCTCTGCGAGCTCGTGCCTGTGCCATGCGCGCGCACACACACACCAGTCAGTCAGGGCGGCACGGCGAGTGTGCTGCTCGTGCAGGTCCGAGCAGCGCGAGACTACGCGCGCGCGTGCGAGCGTGCGAGCGAGCGAGCGCGGCGGGCTGCAGGCTGAGCCCGTGTGTCCTCTCGAGAGCTAGTCGGAGTGCACGGCTCCGTGCAGGCAGCGTCTAGGCACACACGCCGCAGCGATGCGTTCTCTTCGGCGAGGCCTCCCAGGTTGGTCCGCAGCTCCGAGACGGCTCGCTTGGAGGAGGTTGTCGCGCGCAGCAGCTGGTCGCGCAGCTGGTCTCGCTCCTACAATCTCGGGGCAATCTCGGGGCAATCTCGGGTCATCTCGAGTCATCTCGGGCCATCTCGGGCCATCTCGAGTATGATCTCGGGTCACCTCGAGTATGATCTCGGGTGTGATCTCGGGTGTTCTCTCTCCTGCTCGAGGAGGAAGAGCCGCTTCTGGCTCTTGCCCTGCGTCTCCTTGAGCGATCGGACCTCCGACTCCCACCTGCTCACAGGCAAGGCGGTACGTCGTGCCTGTCGATGGAGTCCCACCCGACACTCCGCCCCCCACCGGCGCGACGTTGCCTCTTGCGCGGTGCGGACCTAACGGAGCGAGGCGTGCGGCGGATCACATCCACGCGCGCCTGGCAAGCAGGGGCGCCCTTTCCACCCCCACGTCCAGCTTCCACGGCGTGGAAAGTGGGAGAGGCCAAGTGCGGGCGCGGACCTCGTCCGCCACGACCTGGAAGCAGTTTGAGGCCGACAGGCAGTCGGCGCGCGCCCGCTCGAGGGCGGCCTCAAACTTTGCCGTGTAGGACTTGTCGAGCTCCGAGAGCACCGAGAGGAGCACGCGGTCCTCGGACACGTCTGCGGCGCCGATTCGGTAGACGAGCGTGCCCGTCTCGAGGCTGGCCGCTGGCGTCGCGCACCGGAAGGTGAGGTGCTCGGCGCGCAGCTTGACGGGGAAGCGAGCGAGGAAGGCGAGCCGCAGCGCGTCCTCCTCGATGTCGGACGCCCGCTTCCAGCCAGGCTGCAGCCGGAGGGCAAAAGAGAGTTTTGGCGTGACGAGGACCTGTCGGAGAGGGGCGGGCTCAGTGTGCAGAGGCGTCGAGCCTGGCTGCTGGCAGGGCGACCGCACGTTGATGAGGCGCGGCTCGGCATCGCCGGCGGTGCCACCCGTGTTGACTGGCCCAGCAGGCGCTATGTGGGCGGGCGCGTCGTTCACAGAAGACGACGGGCGCCGCTCTCGCTCGGCGGTGGCATGCTGCATTTCGGAATCAGAAGAAAATCGAGCAGGGCTCTCTAGCCCGTAACCCGATCCCGAGCGTCCGGCCAACTGGGTGCGCTTCTCAGCTCCCCGGTCCTGGACGTGAGGTTACTGACCGCACTCCAAGTGCTCCAAGAGCACGCAGACACATCGGATAGAAAACTAAGGGCGTACGCCCTTAAGAAAACAAGAACACAGCGCACTCTCTCGCATGACAAGCGATCCCACGATTGCGAAGGTTAAGCAACTAAACGCCCGGCCAGCCGTACAGAGCGCCCGATACCTCACCCCGGCGGCCACGCCTCGACCTTCTTGGGCAGCAGTTGGTTCGACAGCTCCTCTCCGTGGCCTAGGCAGCCGCGTTCACCCTTGCCCCACGCAAAGGCCTCGAGCTTCTTCGGTTGCCACTGGTTCTGCTCGTCGCCGTGGCCTAGCCGGCCTGAGGCTCCCCAGCCCCAGCTCCAGACAGCACCGTCGGCGGTGATGGCGAGGCTGTGGTAGGCCCCAGCCGACACAGCGACGACGCGCTGGCCAGTCAAAGCCTCAACCTTCTTCGGCAGCAGCTGGCGCTGCTCGTCGCCGTGGCCCAACCTGAGTAGATGCCACGGCCCCAGCAGACGGCGCCATTGGCGGTGAGGGCGAGGCTGTAGTCGCGCCCTGCCGACACAGCGACGACGCGCGGGCCAAAGGCTTCGATCTTCTTCGGTAGCAGCTGGTGCTGCTGGTCGCCGTGGCCCAGCTGGACAAAGCCTCCCCGCCCCAGCTCCAGACAGTGCCGTCGGCGGTGAGGCCCAGACTGTGGTACTCTCCAGCCGACACGCTGCACCGTGCTCAGCATCGAGGGGAGGCGGGTCGGCGTGTTGAGCCGCGTCACGCCCTCACCGTGACCGAGTAGCACTAGGTTCTCGTTCTGCGCAGAGCCGCACGACGAGAGCCGCCCCTCGCCGTCGATGTAGACGCTGTGCTGATAGCCTGCCGCCACCCTCGCCGGCGGGTTGGCCTCGCGCAGCAGCGCCGAATAGCACAGCCACCGCACGGCGCAGCTCTCGCTCTCTGGCTGCGCCGGCAGCTCGAAGCCGCGCTCTTGCGCCCACAAGCGGATGCCCTCCAGCGCAAGCGAGGCGTGGAAGAGCAGCGAGACGGCCGCGACGCGAGCGATGTCGAGGGGGCTGTCGCATTGTGACCCTTCCTCGGTCCCCATCGCCGCAGCCGAACACCAGCGTCACGACAGCACATTCTGCGGCAGCACGTTCGCCCACGGGCGGCCGTTTGGCAGGTACTTGCGCCCCGCAAACCAGCCGCGCTCGACGTTGCTCAGCACAAGCATCCACAGCTCGAGCGGCAGCGCGACAGGCAGCCCACCCCGGCGCGCGACAGCGGTGAGCAGATTGATCGTGCGCCGGTCCGTCGTCGGGAACGACCAGTGGCCCTTACCGGTCCAGCTCGGGCCGCCCGCGAGCGCGGCTAAGTAGCGCTCATCAGCGGTGAGGCTCCTGTGGCCCTTGGAGAGGCACGAGAGGTCAAAGTCGGTCAGGCGCAGGCCGTGCGCCACTAGCGCGCGCGTCGCGTCCGCGTTGCGCCGCTCGAGCGAGAGCGGCAGCAGCGTGAGCGACGTTGCGCGCCCATCGGTGAAGCGTGGCGCGTGCTCGAGCAGTAGCCGCAGCGCGCCGTTCTGACCGTTGCGTAGCGCGCACTCCTCGGGCGAATCGCCACGGCCGTTGACCACGTCGCGATTGACGCTCGCGGCAAAGAGGAGCTCGAGCACGTCCTCGACGCCAAAGTAGGCCGCGATGCAAATCAGTGGCTCCGCGCCGTCGTGCAAAGTGCGGCCGAGGCCGTGCGTTTGCTCGTCGGGTGAGATGCCGCGAAGGAGCGCCACCTCCACGAGCGACAGCAGCGCACGGCGTTGGGACGCCGCCGCGGTGGCCGCCGCCTTGACTGCTGAGCCCAGGAAGCCCCAGGGGTACACTCGCAGGCTCTTCATCTCACCTTCAGACGCACTCTCGAGCTTGTGCCTGACAAGGTCGAGCCGCACGTGGCCGATGTCCCGCATCACGCTGCGCCACAGCGGTGGCGCGTCGGTCCATAAGCCGCCCTTGGCGGTGGCGGTGCGACGCGAGCGCTGCATTATAAGGAGATAAAAGAGAAAAAGAAAACCATCACAGAGCTGGACTTGTGAGCCGGACGGCTTTCATTTCTCTCTGCGTTGTTGAGCCAGGACTCAACATACTCGTTCTGTTGCCGTCCCAAACTGTCACTCCCCTTTCTCCCGGCCGGGGTGGGCGCGCGCGGGGGGCGGCGGGTGTGCGGGATGTCTGTGGGCCCGAGAGCGATATGCCATGTGTGATGTGTGTGTGTCCGACTTGCGTTTTTACATCGAAGGCTAAGCAAAAAGAAAAACTGGCGCCGCGGCCGCCCCAGACAGGCAGCGCTCGGGCTCTCGGGTGGCTACACCCGAGAGCACGGCCATGCTCTCCGTCGAGCAGCCGGTTGCGGTGGGGGCGCACAAGGACGTCGAGATGTCGGACGCGCCCGCCGCCGCCGCCGCCGCGCCCGCCAAGGCGGCGCCCGACGTCTACGCGCGCATGAAGGCGCTGCAGCGGCAGCTCGAGTTTCTCGACATCCAGGAGGAGTACATCAAGGACGAGATGGGGAACCTGAAGCGAGAGCTGGTGCGCGCCAAGGAGGAGATCAAGCGGATCCAGTCCGTCCCGCTCGTCATTGGCCAGTTCCTCGAGATCATCGACCACAACCATGGCATCGTCTCGTCGACGACCGGCTCCAACTACTACGTGCGGATCCTCTCCACCATCAACCGCGAGCTGCTCAAGCCCTCGTCCTCGGTGGCGCTCCACCGCCACTCGAACGCCGTCGTCGACGTCCTCCCCCCGGAGGCGGACTCCTCCATCTCGATGGTCGCGGACCACGAGCGTCCGGACGTCTCGTACTCGGACATCGGCGGCTGCGACATTCAGAAGCAGGAGAGTCGCGGCCGCGGAGTCGCAGCCTCGCCCGCCCACCCCCACCCCGTCCTCTCCTTGCCCCTTTCCCTCCCTCCCCCCTTTCCCTCCCTCCCTCCCTCGCTGCGGAGCCTCATGTCGGAACCGTGCGAGAAGCGTCCCGGGAACTTTCCGTGAACCGGTCGCGCGCAGGAGATCCGTGAGGCGGTCGAGCTGCCGCTGACGCACCACGACCTGTACGCCTCCATCGGCATCGACCCGCCCCGCGGCGTCCTCCTCTACGGCCCGCCCGGCACGGGCAAGACCATGCTCGCAAAGGCGCCCCCCCCCCTCGCCTCCCCCTACACCATACCTCCCCCCCCCCCTTTCCTCCTCCTCCTCCTCCCTCTACACCATACCTCCCCTCCCCCCCTCCCACACCACCCCCCTTCCGTGACACGTCCCGACTGCGCGTCGGTCGCAGGCGGCGGTGGCGTATGAGTGCGCCTCTGTGCTGGTCGCGCTCTCGTCGTCCGCCACCGCCATCCGTGCGGCCGCACAGTCGTACACGCAGCTGCTCTCGTCGCAGTCGGCACCGCGATCCTCCGGCGGCCTCTCGGAGCCTTGCGATCTAGCCCTTCGTGAGCCGTCGAGGAGCGCTCTCCGTAGGACAACAACATCAAGCTCATCGTGCTGGAGCGGCTGCAGGACCTGAAGCGGCACCACTCGAAGGTGCTTCAGGAGATGATCATGGACATCATCCGCGCGCTGGGCTCGGCGAACCTCGACATCCGCAAGAAGACCCTCGAGATCATGCTCGACCTCATCGTGCCGAAGAACATTGGCGAGGTGATGCAGGCGCTCGCCGAGACGTGACTACCCGAGATTACACCCGAGATGACCCGAGATGACCCGAGATGGCCGGTGATGCAGGTTCTCAAGAAGGAGGTGCAAAAGACGCAGGGCGAGGAGGGCGAGAAGTCGTCCGAGTACCGCGCCATGCTCATCAACGCCATCCACAGGTCTGCGATCCGGTTCCCGGAGTCGGCGTCGATGGTCGTGCCGGTG